CCCGCCCCCCCCCCCCCCCCCCCCCGACCCCCCCCCCCCCCCCCCCCGGGACCCCCAGAACCCCCCACAAAGGGCTCAGGGCCCCCCCAGACTCTCGGTTCCCCCCCAAACCGGGGCTGGAGACCCTCCGAGCCCCCTAAATCAGCCCCCCCGGACCCTCAGACCCCCCCTCATCCCATCCCCTCCCGCACCCTCTGCACCAGCCGGGCCCTCACGGCGCGACCCTCGCGGGCCCCGGGCCCGGGGGGCGGGGGGGGCTGCGGGGGCAGCTCGGGGGTCCCCGGCGGGGGTGGGAGCCCCTCGGGGGGCTCGAGGCCGAGGAGGCGTCGGCGCAGGGCGATGTTGTGCAGGATGCAGCAGGCCAGGAAGATCTGGCAGACCTTGGGGGGGCTGTACTGGAGCCCCCCGCCCGCCAGGCAGCGGAAGCGGCGCCGCAGCAGCCCCAGGGTGCGGCGCAGGGGGCCGAGGGTCCGCGCGTGGAGGGCGTTGTAGCGCAGCTCGGCCGCCCCCCGAGCCCCCCGGATGGGGGTCAGCAGCCACGGCTTCAGGGGGTAGCTGCCGTCACCTGGGGAAGGGGGAGAAAGGGGGGCACGGCGGGGTCAGGGGAGCAACGGGGGAACCTCCAGACCCCCAGGGTCACCCTGAGACCCCCAGGTCAACCCTGAGACCCCCCCAGACCCCCAGGGTCACCCTAAGACCACCAGGTTAACCCTGAGACCCCCAAGGCCACCCCCAGGTCCCCAAGGTCACCCTAAGACCCCCCAGACCCCCAGGTTAACCCTGAGACCCCCCAGGCCTCCAGGTTAAACCTGAGACCCCCAATTTAACCCTGAGACCCCCCAGACCACCAGGTTAACCCTGAGACCCCCAGGTTAAACCTGAGACCCCCAATTTAACCCTGAGACCCTCCAGGGTCACCCTGAGACCCCCAATTTAACCCTGAGACCCCCCAGGGTCACCCTGAGACCCTCCAGACCCCAAGGTTAACCCTGAGACCCCCAAGGCCACCCCCAGACTCCCAGTTTAACCCTGAGACCCCCCAAGGCCACCCCCAGACCCCCCCTCAGCCAGCAGCCAGACCCCCTCAGGCCTCGCCCCCTCCATGAGCCGGGCCAGCGCCGAGTTCTCCGGGATCATCCCCCCTCTGGGACCCCCAGGACACCCCCGTGACCCCCCCCCAGACCCCTCACCCATCACCCAGACCCCCC